GAGTAATTTTCTTCGTAATGTTCTTCTCTTTTCCAAGAGTGCCGTCCGCTTCATCGCTAGAACTGCTAGTTGATGAAGACTTCGTTCCATTTGCTAACTGCACAGCTTTCTAAAGTGGTGATAAACAGTCTGCGAGAGGCTGGTTACACCGAACAAAAAATGCTCAATATTTCTGACTTAAACTCCAAAAATAAATAAAAAGCTAAGCTAACAGGTTTTATGGTCTTTTTTATATTGACCGAAGTGTCAGGTCCATCACTATCGCTAGAGCTACTACTGCCAGACGATGATGACTTTTTTTCAAATTCCTGCTTTTTCTAAAAAAAGGATCAATATGATTATTGCTAAGAGCGAAGCGCAGTAATCACAAAAAACCCAATGTTAAAAAATATAGGTGATTTAACAATAAAACGTTTTTTTATTTATAACCCCCTCCCTTTCAAGCGGAAAAACAGTTTAGATTCATGAACTGAAATGTAAGAGATAAGTATAAAGACAAAAGAAAAGTGGAAAAACTACGTTTCTTGACATCACAAGACTTGCTGTCTGTCTGCTGGCCTTCTCGGCGTTTTCAGAACTACTTTCAGATAATGAAGTTTTCTTATTTCCTCCTTTCGATGTTCTTTCCGGTAAGATAACACTCTATAGTGACAATTTTTTTCAGTAAAATACCCTGATGAAACAAAAAAATTATGATGGCACGCACCCTTTTCGATAATTTAGATCCTTTGATTTGAATTGTAACCTCCTTGTCACTTGAACTGCTTTCTGATGAAGAAAATTTTTTACTTGCAGAGTCTTTTTTCCCCTTAATAATGATAAGCATTATATCAGTAGAAGAAAATGTTTTAAAATTAATAAACAGAAAATACACTTCTTTCTCAGCCGCCTGAAAACTATTTTTTTTAACTGTTCCTTCGTCACCGCTAGAAGTACTGTCAGATGACGAAGTTGAACTTCTCCTTGCAGCCATTTTATCCAGTGCCTGGAAAGAAAAGCAATCTTCCTAGTGAATTCTAGCTCTAATAACAAACAAACTTGTGTGCAATGTTTCATAAAAACTAAACAAGTTCATACTTTTTTTGCACTTTCTTTCCTCTTCGCTCTAATACTGTTTTCATCGCCACTGCTTGAACTACTGTCAGAAGAAGACTCCTCCTAAAACAGCAAAGTCAATTTCTTTGGCACTTCATTTACTGCGCGAAAAACAAATGAAAAAAATAGTTTCATACTAAGCAGTATTGCACATTTAATTGCAATTAAAATAGTTCTATCCTATTTTTCCACTAGCAATAATCTCAACTTTACTTTTCGTACAGTCCTCAGGTCACCTGCTATTCTACGGGGCTAAATGGCCTAATATGTTACTCAAAAGAGACAAAAACCCATTACTCTTTAGACCGTTGCTTGGCCAGCACAGTTCAGGCAAATTTAACTTTAGTCATTTCATATCCTTTCATCTCTTTTCGCAGCAGTTACACGTTGCGGTATTTTTGAAGATGACCAAAAACAATCGAAACAGCTGTCTAAAAAGCAGCTTCTAAATCAATATTTCTCGCTCAAACTCCTTTCATCCCTAACCTCGCATTTCATTAACACCTCCAAAACAGTTCCATTTCTAGTGCCACCTTCTGCGTTAGCTTACTAAAAAAATTTCATCTCAATTACAGTTTTCCGTTGTGAACCCTGGTCTTCAAAACTGAAAATGGCTTTACTGATCTTCTGCAACCTGAGCGCCGCTGGCTGAACAAAGTGATTTGGAGGCTTAAACGCCAAGTCTTGAATAGGAGAAGCCCAAAAGTGACCTTCCCCTTTCTCCTCTCGTTAAAGAATCTAATCTTCCTGCCGTAGTAATGAAGAAAGACAGTACCTCAGGTGAGGCTCAAATCCACATCAGATCTTCCTATAATAGGTTCCAGCTATTAAGGTACTGAGAAACTGTACTCAGGACCACATGAGCCTCAACTTATTAAACTTTCCAACCTTCTAACAACTACCACAAAATAAATTTCTGTTCTTAAATGACGCGCATTGCTTTGACTCTCCAAACATCTCCCAAATTCCAAATTGTTTTTAAAAATTTGTTCTACTTGGGAGAAGAAACGCTAAATTCATTTTCAGGTCGAATAATTCGAAGGAAAACGCTTGAAGAAATAATACTAATCTCCACAACCGAAAAGATTCAGTGAAATTAAGCATTGCTGGAGAACTTTGGCGCAGAAAATCTAACGATGTCAGCAATTTTACTTTGTAAACACAGGATCGTATGATAAGCGCTCGTCAATTCTTTCCAACAGACTTCTAAGTGCCCCTCTCACAATGTCGCCCAAACGACCTTTGAAATTATTTTCTTCGTACATAAAAAAAGCACTGATTTTCCCTCAGCCAAATAGCATAACGTTTTTTATGAGTTTTAACTGCAAACCATCTAATAACAAACTTAACCCTCGAATCAATCCCGCGTAAGTCCTCCACCTCATAAAACTAAACAAAAAAAGAAAAAAAAAAGCGAATGACCTATCAAAAACGGAAAATCAGCAAAAAAGCAAAAAAAACATGATCAACATGCAAGCACCGACAGCTTAAATAATGCTATTCCCTAATACCTCTTTCAGTGGCTTTTGACTATTCGATATCGTTAGAGCTGCAGTACCGTTGTCAGAGTCACTGCTTGATGACGAAGATGACGAATCTTTCTTCTCCTCTTTCTAAAAACGCATACTATTAGAAAAGATAAAATAACAAAATTTCATTCAAAAAATTAAGAGAAATGAGTGCAGACTACGCACCTTACAGTACCACTCTTAACAAGAAAAAAAACTATTTTCCCAATACCTAAAGATTTTTTGCTCCAAGCTTCTTTTTTTATCAACAATAGAAATGTCAAAAAAAAAAAAAAAATTCTTTTCACCATACAGGTTGTTTACAATGAAGCAGCGAAGACAAAGGTAAAAAAAATAACGAAACAGACCGATGAAGCAGTTCAGCAAAAGGTGCCTCTATAAAAAGAAATGCTGGTTTCTTAACGTCGTCTCAAATTCTCCACCTTCCCCCTAAAACTACCAAGTCCCTTCCAAACCAGCAGAACCCTCCTCCTTCCGCAGCTTCTTCATTATTACTACTGTTACTACTCGCAAACAAAAGTGGTTTTCCAATGTACTACTCATTTCTCCCCCCTAAAAACCATTTTTAAAAGAACAAAATCTTTATTAAAGTAGCTACCGGAAAAACAAAACCCAGGAAAAGCTGTAATTAGAATTCCATATGATGAAATGTTACAAGTTTGCCACACCTGATTTCCAACTTTCGAAAGCCCCGCATCACTGCTATCACTACTAGAACCGCCATCCGCAGACAAAGACGACTTTCCACATGCAGGAATTTTTTTCGTCTCCTGTAGGAAAAAGCGAAAAAAAAAAACATAAAAGAAATGATCATACTAGCGCTTTTTAAAAAAACAGAAAGTTTTCGCACTTGTTTTACAACTTGAAAATCTTTTTTTCTAACAACTTCATTTTCATCGCTCCAACTACTATCAGATGAAGATTTCTTCTTTAGATCTTCCACTTTCGCCTTCTAAAGAGATTCAAGAAAATTTTAAAAAATAAATAAAGACGAAAGACAACAGCCAAACATCAAAAAACTTGTGAATTTTTGAAAAAAATTCATACAGCTTTAACAGGGTTTCCCTTAATATTTGACTGCTTAACTTGTTCCCTATCAGACGAACTGCTGTCAGACGAAGATGACTTCTTGGAAGTCAATTTTCTTGCATCCTGAAAGGAAAAAAAAAAACATCAAAAAACTGAGCGAAAGAAGCAGCTGGCGAGGAAACAGATGTTAAAACTCTACAATTTTCTAAATTACAGCGGTTTGAATATACCTGCTCCGTGGTTCTTGGGCGTCGTTCCTCAATATTGACGCCCTCACCGCTATCTGAAGTACTATCTGAGGACGACGACGATTTTTTTTTCGCAGCAAGCTTTCTTAATTCCTTTGAAAAAATGCGAGACATTAAGCAATAAAAATAACTTTCTCAAAAAAAGCTTGGTTTCGAAGTTGGAAAAACCTTCATCAAAGTATAATTAGAATAAGTAACCAACAACAAAAATTCTTACTATTTTTGCGTTCACTGTAGTCGTTTTCTGAGGTTCCTTTTCTCCGTCATCACTTGAAGTATCACTGCCCGATGAAGATTTCTTGATATACAAACTCTTTTTTGTCCCCTGAAATAAATAAGATTTAGAGAAAAAAAGCAAGTGACCGGAGGCTAAATATAAATTGACTACTTCCCGTTCTGCAGACTTAAGAACGACCGCTATTTTTTTTAAAATTACCGTGGACTTTGTCTGTAGTACCCTTCGATTATTACTCGAACTGCTGTCTGATGAAGAAGATGACCTTTTCTTCTTTTTCTAAAAAAGTAATTAACAAATCGTAGAAAGCTCATATTAAATTAACAGTGAAAAATGTAAAAAATGCTTTTGAAAAAGGAATTCTCCAAATCATAATACTTACAAGTACCTGTTTTGTGGTTCTCGATGTTCCGGATTTTAATCCGTCTTCTTCGTCACTGGAGCTATCCGATGAGGATTTCTTTCCACTAGTAAATCCTTTCGAGCTCTAGAAGACTTATAATGAAACAAAGAACAAATGCATAGGGGAGCAACTGGTACTCCAATCTAGGCCATTCAGCTACGTACAATGTATTCACAACCGCATCTCCTGTAACTAAGTGAGACCTCTGTCTAATCACTCTGTGAGAATAAAAGACTACGAGCTGTTGGTTCAACTGCATAATAAACGCATGTCCGGGAAACCGTTGGGATTTCTTACTTTACAAAATATCAAAGAAAAGAAGCAAAATAATGAGGATCCCTCAAGAAATAACATATATTGACTAACGCTTCTTCAGATCCTGTTAGACAAAAATAAAAATTTGCTCAAAACTGGATGTGCGATCGCTATACCAACTTAAAACTTTTAAATCGTCGCTGCAAAAGTCAAATAGATTTATGCAACAAAAAGAAAAGAATTAAGGTCCACTGCACTTTAGCAACAATAAAATCCCACATCAAATTGCAAAACCCTCTGAAATAGAAAAAAAAAAAAAAAAAAAAAAAAAAAAAAAA